TCTAGTATTGGTACACATTCTTAAAATGCCAACATGAAACCACTGTTGTTCTCACTATTTCTTTTATACTATAGTTCTAAAACAATCCTGTATTGTAATGCACCTTGCTATTCTAACACATACTCCTTAAGCAGCTTTCAATAAAGCGATACTGAACAGTGAGGTAGAAATAAGTAAAAGGCATACAAAAATGCTTTTTAATGTTTTAACCAAAAATATCACACTTTAAAATGGATGATGATGCTCAGGATGTAATAATTAGGTCACAAAGGAATATCTCGAAATACTCAGTTTGCTTCCTATAGCTTTAAATCAGGCCGAGCGCAAGTTACCCGGACAATTCTATTTGGAGTCATCTTTTTATACTTCTGTACACCCTTGTCAATAAAATAGCAGTGACTCAAGAATAAATGATTCATTAGACATTTATAACTTCTTGTCTCATGTAACTTATCTTTATAATTTTAAATTACTAAAGAATCCCAAAGATCTTTTCTCACTGAAGTATTTTGAAATGATCCATATTTTATTAAGTTCCAAGGACAACCCTCTACAACTCACACCCCCACACCCCCTACATTCAAAATTAAGTAACCTTTAAAATTGCTGTCATAATTCAGATACACATCAGGGGAAAAACTAATCCTATATTAGAATGTTCCATTTAGCAAACCATTCATCTTTTTTTTTTTTAACCTGTGACACAATTGGTGATTATCAAAGATCTGAAGCTGTCTGTTTTAATTTCCTGAAACAATGGAACACCACTCTGAGTTTTCATTGTTTGGTCTGTCTTTTTAAAATTAAGTGTCTTTCTTCAAACTTTACTGTATATATTTATAACAGGCCTGAGTATTCTTGAAGTTATTTTGGTAATTTCCTACACAGTTTCCAAAATAAAAACTTTATTTAGCCAAATATTAAATTATTGCTATTACAAATCTGTTAATCGATATATAGCATATTTTACTTATTTTTGTAATTTTAAAATTCACATTCATTTGATTGACTGTTTTAATCTTCCTTAACTAGTGAGTAACTGAAAATAAATGGTGCATTCCTAATACTATAAATATGAAAAATAGAAAGTACTTAGGGACTGCAGGGGAATATATTAAAAATCAGTCCGTTTTCTGGTTAACACATTCTCATTCTGTTTGTGTACAAACCCACTGCATTGAGAAGACAGATCACAAATTCATGGCCTCACAGAAATAGTGTCCCGGATATCATGTTCTGACAGCAGAAATTGGCCCAAATCTGTAAACATTTCCCCAGAAGGACCCTGACTAGCTGGTGCCATCCAGGTGCGGCACGGTCTGAACGAGGGGAACATCGCATCAAACTCCACTCATCTGTCAGTGTGGTGGATTATTTCTTGAGAGACTGAGATTGGCTGCTTGGGATCGGAGCACCATCAATCTTACTGTGTAGGGGACAGTGAAGCTGCCAGTAAGAGCCTGGAGAGAGGGGGACCAGCCGTTCCTAAGCAGGTGAGGAGGCAGCTGTAAAGCCTTCACTCTCCCTCCATCCAGGGCTCTGAGTGAAAGATGTGTCACTTTTCACATTTCCCAGATAATTGCTATGCACATGGTGTCCACCCACTCCTGCTTTATGAAAGAGGTGATTTTTCAAGCTTAGGCAAATGTGGCAAAGCTCAGGGTCTGCTGGTGTCTCATTTTTTCTCATCATGTCACTTGTTTTAACTGATTGGAGAAAATGAGATTATGTTTTTCCCTTTTTCTCATTTATCCAGCTATTTATTTATTTATTTGCTCATTTAAGGGGGGATTGTCACAGATAACTGGCCCTGATTTCTCCCTTGTTTTCATACACATTTCATTAGTGCCCTGAAGATTTAAGACCCTCAGAGGGAAACATCACAACTCTCATCTCAAAAAGCATATATTTACTCTTAAAATCAAAACAGAAGATTGCATTAAAGAAGATTGTATTTCTGACTGAAATAATCTAGAATATTGCAATGTCCAAGATCTATGGCTTTAATCTTTGCAGCTATTGTTGAAAACCCAAGAAAGTTGAACAAACGTATTACACAGAACCATTGGACTTTCACTTTAATATCATTTTCATCTTTCTGCATCTAGAAAGGAGTATTTATAGTTTCTTCATTTCATCAATGAATCTGAAATGGGTCTCATGTGTATGAGCACTTGGGGTTGAAACTGGTTTTGGTCCTGCAGTTTCTTGGGGCATCTGATGTATAAATGGACCATAAACTGATGATAATAAGTGTCTAAGAGTAGACACTAGAGACAATACTGGGTTTAATTGCAGACAGAACCTAATGAGGTGTTTCTCAGTTTAAAATTACAGTATTTTGATAATAAACCCCACAAAGACATAAGTTTACTTGTAGTTACAAGAATAACATAGCCATAACTGCCTACCAAAAAAAATCTAATGTGTTAACTGATTCTGAGACAGTCTATGTGAAGGTTCATTCCAAACTGTACTATATTTCTCGACTGTATGCTTAGAGCATAAAATAAGACAGGTAGCATTTGGTGGTATATTCTGGCCAGGTACCACCTAGTTAAAAATAACAAGAGTAAAAACAAGATTGTATCCACTACGTGGATAATTAGCCGTGTAAACAGCAAAACTAATTCAACATCTGTGACATTCACATCAGTAGTCTATTAAGTGGGGATGCCAATAATTCCTGATATTTATGAAGAACTTTACAAGTTACAAAGCACTTTCATGAAGATTATTTTATTTGCAGTCCCCACAATATCCCTAAATGGAAAACTGGGCTCAGAGAAGGAAAATGACTTGCCCAAGGTCATGTCACTAATACTAAGTGACAGGGAGGATGGCCCAGCCTGAGTTCTGTCATCGCCACATGCCAACACTCCTCAGCTCTGCCAACGCCTCCTTTCAGAATGGTCTGCAGTTCAAATGAGGCCAAGTTTTGAACTCACTTGGAAGTTGTCATGCATTACGTGAAGGTGCTCACACATCCTCTAAAAGGCTACTTGGTATGATTATTCTCTGCACTGGGAGACATTTATCCTCCTTGGGAAATGGGCTCTGGAGGTGAAATCAGACCCAAGTCTCCAGTGGCGGTTATTTGCTGTGTGATCTCAGACAAGTCACCTAGACCCTAGGAACTTCAGTCTTCTGGGCAGAAGGGAGAGAAATTACACCTTCTTGGATAAGGATTAAGCCAAACCTTGTGAATTAACCTTGAGAGCGTGCCTAAAACACTCACATTAGTTGTTTTTGTTATGTACACTTATTGTTAAGTATTACCAGGAATGCAGATTTCTCGTATTATTTGTATGACTATGTAATAAGTCAAAGACATTTTTTTGCCGGAACCGATTGGTGAGCCACTGATTGGAGGTAACCTGGGGATTCCAAAACCCACGTTTGTTTTTCCTCCAACTCGGCACTGAAGCCTCGGACTCCCGGCGGTGGCAGCTCTAGACTCAGGACGCGCGAGGCAGAAATCACAGCGCGCAGCAGCGGCAGAGCCTTTTCTATGCCCACCTGCAGGGGCACCAACGCCCCTTCGCCTTCCTTTCCCAACCCAGGGCGTGGAGAACGAAGGCGGCTGGGGCCCAGAAGCAGCCCTCAGCCTCTGTCCCAAACTCAGCCCCCGCCAATCCCCTCCACCCGGAGCGGCCCAAGCTCCAGCATCCAGCTGGCTGGCGCGCTCGCCTGCAGCCCGGAGCCGGCGCGCGGGAGGAACCGGGCTGCACTCGCGCTGTTACCATCCTTTCCCCAACCAGGAAGCAGAGCCCGGGGAGGCAGCAAGAAGCGCCCTGGGAGATGTTGCTGGAGGATAGTGCCGAAGAGCCCAGGATCGATGCCCAGACAGACTGCGGAGCCAGGGAAAGGCAAAGGCATAGACGCGGGACCACGCCGCTGGAGGAAGCCGGGCCGATGGGAGGAGGCAGGAAGGAATTTGGAGAAGGGGTCAGGGAGGATGGGAGATAGAGACCTAGGAGCACTAGAGAACTAAGGATCCGGAGCTTGGCCGCGCAACTGGTCCCCTGAGCCAGGACTTGGAGATCAGGTTTGGTGGGGAGGGGTGGTGAAGATACAGGGTGGAGTAAATGGATGCAAAGGCTGAAGCAAGGCAGAAAATGGAAGGAAATCTTTCCGACAACCAGGGCAGGTGAGGACAATCGAGCTGGGGGAACAGTAATAAGAAAGCTGGAGAGGCAAAAGAAAGGAAAATCCAGATTGAAGAGTGAGGCCAGGGAAGGGTCAGAAAGATTCCTTGAACAGAAAAACGAAGAAAGCAAAATGCATCTGGAACTCAAAATTCAATATAGGAAAAGAAAATGAATCACACTAAAGGGAACTTGTCCCTGAAACTGCCAAGAGGGAGAGAGGATTTAAAAAAAAAAAAAAAGGCATGGAGCATACCAGAAGAACAGAAAGCGAAGGAAGGGAGAAAAGAGAGGAGACAAATTAAACCGGAGAAGAAATAGTAAGTTACTTTTTAATTTCTTTTTCACTGACAAACTACTTCCAAAGTTAATTCTGGCACTAACATCCCCACAAAATCCTTAGCCATATACACACGGAGATTATGGTATCTTATACTAGATAAAAATGCATCCAGGGACATGCACACTTTATCAGTTGCAAAGATCATATTTTGCCTCCCTAAAATATCCTCAAGTCTTAAAAGTTATCCTACATTTGCAGGATATGTTGCTATGGGCCAAAGGATCCAAAAACAAATGACTTCTACTTTTTAGGTGAGTGCCCAGGGGTGGGGGAACTCTTGGAGAAAACCACCTTTTCTGAGAAGAGTTTTCTTAGAAATACCTCCAAGGCATTTTAGTATCCCCCACCACTTTCCCCAAAGCATCCAGCCAACAATATGTCTTAGAATTCAGAGGCAACCTCCCACTGAAAAAAAAAAAGCTGTAGCATTTTCTATCACTTGCCTTCAACCATCTGTTAGAAGACAGCGGTGAGAGTGGAGGCTGCGGTGGAGGCAGCTTCCGACTTACCTGGTCTGTGCAGGTGGTGCTGCTGGAAAGTGTGCTGAAGGGATCCGTGGCAGAGCAGCATCGCACAAGCGCTTATCCACAGATACAGGACCCAGGACATCGCAGAGACCATTGCCATTCTCTAAAGAGAACATTAGACAGGAAGGATTACCCCCAGCTCCTTCAAGCCCCCAGCTCCATCAGTCCCACTGATGAGACAAAAGGGGGGTCTCAAACGTCATGCCCCTTTGCTACTTTGCTGGCTGGAATTAATGACCCTGCAGAGGTCATGCCTTGAGTGGGACTGAGGGAAAGCACTTCCCAGGCAATCAGGAATCCAGTTTTTGAAATCCTGCAAAACCAAATTCCTCAGCTCGCCAAAATGCAGAAATAAAGTTTTTGAATATCAGTTAGGCAGTTTGAAACATGGTATCCTGACTAAACAACCTATTTTACACAATGATCTTTAAACTATAGTTATTCCAGGCATTGACTGCACACTCCCGTTCATTCTAACTTCATTGCAAGTCTGACATAAGCCTGGAAGGAAAGAGTGGATTCTTTTTTTTTTTTTAATTCTACAGTCATGAATTTTTAATTCCAATGCTGTCTTCTAAACTAAGTAATCATTTCTCAGAGGCATGCTGTAATCTCCTGATAGAACCGGTCTTCTTGGCTGGACTTAAAATCAGAAGGAATTGCCTTCAGCCAGAATGAGTTTCAGATACAAGATCTGTGCTTTTCTCCTAGAGCGAGCCATAATTTACAATATTGCTTTACCTCCTAACATCCCATTGTGGCATTTGTTGTAGTGCTGATGAATATGCATAGACAGGTGGTGTATGTATTTATGGCGAACACCCACCTTTTCTCAGGCGCTGAAACTTTGACAGTCTTATCTGTACCTATAAGAATCTTAGGAGCCACAAAGGCTCAACTGCGCTACATATTGTCCAAATTCTCAAACAACACCTTATGCTGCATTTCATCTCTGCCAAATAAATCGAACTTGAAGCATCGTCCTTACTCAGCCAGTGATGTGGAAGCATTTTCAATACAAGAGTCCAGTTAAGTATATGCTTTTCCCTTAGAGAGAGCTTTTGGAACCAAGATTGTTTCTTTCTTTTTCTTTTTTTTTTTTCCATTTTTCCACTGTCAAATCATACACTTCAAATATTTCAACAGTACATTTAAGACCTCCTAGTGACCTCCCAGTGTGGCTTCTTTATTAGTGGAAATTGGTACTCTTTCAAAAACTGTGATGTTCAGAAAGCAAAAAATATACATTATATGTGTGTGTGTATAGACATAATACAAGATAATTTATGGGTTTTAGGAGAGGGAGACTTGGTCTGTAAGAAGGGGTTTTAGAACTATAATAGACAAATGGTGACAACCATAATTAAGTGCAAAGTAGGAAAACATTATTTTCAACAGCATGGTGCCTTTCATGCCCCAGTCTGTGATTCAGATGGACTATTCACTTTATAATTAGTTTCACAGCCCACTGTTTACTTTTGTGTACAACGGATTTAGCTTCATTGTCTTCAGAACTATCAGTATAACATAGATGCATTCTCTTCAGTAAAGATAAAGAGCAACACCCCTCCTCTGAATTCCGAAATGAATTCATTTGGGAGCCTTTTGAAAATACCCTGCAAATTATAGAAAGACAAAATAGAGGTGATTGTGGCATGCAATGACTGTTTGTGAATTTCAGCTAAAATGCACGAGGAATTCATCTAAACTTGAAACAAGCCTTCCACAATCAAAACTTAACAGTTTTTCAATGACTGCTTTCTCTTGCTTGTTTCTTCACCCACATAGATCTTAGCACTCAAAACGATGGCTGTGGCTTGACATTTGCAGTATTTTCCTCCTTTTTCTTTTATTCATTTAACTTTCTTTAAGGCTCAGCATTACTTCCAAGGTTCCTGCCTATTGCTCTCTGTGCTCACTGTCTTACCAAGAGGTTGTCTCTGTTAATAGGTGTTTTCCCCCACATAATGCAACCAGCCTTACACAGTTCTCTAGATCTTACTCAATAGGTTACAAATCTGCTTTCTGAATCTTAAATCCTTAAAGAGGCTTCTTACCTGAAAAATCCAGCCAAGAGCAGAATACTCTATTAGTGGTCATTGGAAAGCTCTAACACTTTCTAAAATCCATCTGTGCCACAATTTGAGATTTTTTTTTTTCAAAGAGCTTCCCACTAATCTTCTTTATCAGGATTAACAATATATATGTTTTTCGCTTCCGATGCTATTTCCACAGTAAAGAAGACATTGGGTTCATCCAGATTGTATTGTCAGAAAAAGAGCCAAGGTTGGAGGGCTGGAAACCTTGTCATTTTCACCTTTAAATCATCTCCTGGCGTCACCTCTGCCTGACGAGACCTTTGAAGTGGTGGTGAGATAATGTGCAGTTTCCTGATGAGAATCAGTTTATAGTTAATGATGGACCATCCCCACTCCAGTGCGTTCGGGGCAGAGTAAGGCAGCAAAATGTGGGAGCAGGGCTGCTATACGGTGCTGTTAAGTAGCAATAGTCTCTTTCAATACATCCCTCCTCTGTAAAGTATCACATGTCTTAAAGTGACATTACCCTCTATTACAGCTACAGTGAATTGTAATACCTGCCCACTAACTCTTCAACAACTCAAGCAGCACTTTAACACTGTATTGCCTGGTATGTTCTGTAAGAGCTTTTACCCATAACGTTCACTTGCTGCAAGAGCAATGAGGGAAGGAGAAACAAAGGAAAAAATCATCCTGCAAAATACTGATAGTGTTCATGGGTGTTAGACTTATACCAGCAAATGGGAAAATGAAATATAAGCCATTTCTTACCTCTTAATGTTCTTTTAACCAGTAAGTTAACCAAAAATACTGTTGAGTTTATACAGATTTAAGTCTGTCGATTGTTTTGGCAGCTAAATCTGAAAATATGATATATCTAGAATACAATATAGATGTTTATATGTGTAAACCCACAACAAACCTTCTGAGTTTTTGAACATGTTTAATAAATAGAAATATGTCATTTTCAGCATCGACAAAGGAATTTTGACAAAGGAACATGTTCAAGGCATTTTTTAAAAATTTCCCTCTCCCTCAAATAACATGCTGGGCTAGGGGGAAGAAATACTCAGAAGTTTAACATTTTGTTTCCAGTACTATGGTCTAGACACTTTCTTCTTTAGACATACAGTGTGATTGTAGCCAAATGTCAATGACGCATGTAAGGTGACCTGGTTTTCACATATAGATTGCACTACTAGCAATGATTCATTCAAAGAACTCATTTGGTTATTTCATGAATCACTCATAAAGCACCTACTATGTGTTAGATGCTTGGTAACAAGGCAGAAAACAAGATTGATGTGATCTCCACCGTCCTAGATCATACTGTCTAGTCTTTCATATTTTTTCCCCTAAATCAAGGTGGTTCTCCTAATATTCCTTCCTCAAAAACATTTTCAAGGGCCTCAGAATACTCTCTTGCCTTTCACAGGTATTATAAAGAAGGTTTGATGCTACAGTGCATCTTGGGAAGCCATTCCCTTCTCTCCCGTTACACAGAGTGAAGGAGAGAGAGACCCTTCAGACGCATCAGTCTTCCCCACTGCTCTTGCACAGCTAGCTGCGTGATACACACAGAATAGCTCTTCGGAACATAACGACTAAAACTTATCATTAAACAGTTTTCAAGATAACAGTAAACACTAATCTTAGAGTAAGTCAAGAGTGCCAATGTTCTAGTTGGCATTGCATGTTTCATTTCTGTGGGTCGTTATTGTTGTGCTGGTGAGTAGGTACAGAAAGTTTACAGTGACTTGCAAAATCAAGACAATAATCATAACAGCAGTAGCAGCAGCTAATGTGTATTAAACCTTCACCATATGCTAGCATTGCTCTATAGTAACAGAGTAAGGTGTAATTTCATCCCTTTTACCAACCCTGTAAGATAGGTATTACTATTACTGCTGCTGTTGTTGTTGTTGTCTCCATTTCATGGATGAGGAACCAGAGGGTGAACAGGGAGATTAAGAACTTAGCTCAAGGTAATATAGCTACTAAGTGTTGGAGCAGATTTCAAACCCTGGTCATCTGGGTCACGAGCCCATCTCCTAAACACAAGGATAAAATACTTCATGGAAAAAACAACCCTCCAAAATGAACTGTTGAATTTTCTTATTTCTTTGCCATCAAGACAGTCTCAAAAAAAAGTCTTATTGATTCATTCATTCATTCATTCAAGACATATATTCAGTACATCCCAGGCATTTGAAATATTGAAATGTGGAAGACAGTCTTTGCCTCGAGATTTTTTGGGTTTGTTTTTGCTATGCTAATGCATTAAAATTGAAAGGAAGTTCCCATTTGCTAACAAAAGCTACCATTTTGAAAACTATAAATTATGTTTTTCATTTCTAGGGATTAAACTAAGGTTCAGCATAGTTACTTATCTACAATTCAATTCAACTTCATAAACTTGAAACACATACTAATGGATTATGTTCAAGGCACTCAAATAGGCATTGTTAGATTTTTTTTATAAGACTGGAATAAAGACTTCCGCTTTCAGGCTTAAGTGGCTTTCTATATATGTGTGTGATGGAACAAGAATATCAACCTAGTTCCATTTTTTCTGTTCCAAATACTGTGTTGTCCATTGTATTGCAGCCAATGATCTTTTTTCCTAATAATACAAGCATCAATAAATATTGACATTTAAGACAATTTAGTCTATTCTCCTAACTCAAAGCAAAACTACTCTCACACCTGTCAAAGAAGTTGGGTCTTCCTACCTTCTGGCCATGGTAGGACTCCATCACCTGAGCACTATATTGTTGGATGGGCCATAATGTTCTGGCCAATGAGGTGTCAGCAAAACTGATGGTACCTTTTTGAGGCGGGAACATTTAATTGTTGAAGCAACACCCTCCACATCTCTCTTTGCCTCCGGAACAAGGACTAGCTGCACTATCTGCCTGGATCCTTGAGAGTCTACAAAGAGCAGAAGCCCTCCCCTTGCCCCACCAACCCACAGAGGTGTACACAGTGAATAAGAAATATTCTGTTCTTTATGCAATTGAGATTTAGAAGCTATTTGTTATTGCAATATATCCTAGTCTGTCCT